TGAGAACTGACTCCCATAAGTTGTCCTCTGACCTCTGCACACACTGTAGAGGCTTGTGTGGCACTCGCATACACGCATACACACGTACACACACACACACACACACACACACACACACACACACACACACACACACACACAATTTGAAAAGAATTAGTCACACCGGGAAAGTTTGGGCAAAGCTGCCATGAAAGACTGGCTAACACCATCTGGGAGGATGTGGGCTTTGAAAACTAGTAGCAGCTGTGTAAGGAGGCCGCTAGATGACTCTCGAAGTTCCATGGAGGTGGCCTTGTGCTGGGTGGTAAGGAATAAGTAGCAGACCCTTTCTCCTTTTCTCTTCTTCCTCCTCTCCCTTCATCTTCCTTTCTATGTTCCACTTCACTAATATTCACTGGTATTTGCTTTTAGAGAATATATTCAAAGAGACATGGATACTGAAACTGGATGTCCATTCTTTGTATTTGTTTGTTTTTTGTTTTTGTTTTTCAAGACAGGGTTTCTTTAGTGTAGCTTTACTGTTCATTTTCTTTCACTGAGTTATGATATTTCATCTCTATCATTATGTCCCAGAATTTCTATGAGCATCTCTTACTATGTGGATACTTTGTGTAGTGGTAGTCTTTTCTTGGGGCCTGGATACAATGAGGCCATTTCATGCCCACTCCCTGCTGTAACACAGGGTTCCAGTGAGTTCCAAGCTGTGTGTCTCATCTGGAAGTCCCCAGGGCCCTGATCTGCTGCTGCAGGTCTGTGCCTCATCAGTATATTTACATTGTCTTTGGGCTAGAGAACCATAAAAAGCATCATACTTTGTGGTTCAGAAAGGTCATTTTGCTGGTCAGGTTTTTCTTCTGGCTCCATTATATTGTGTAACTCAGAAAATTCCCCGTGAGCTCCAACTTTAACCAAAATAGAGAGCATGTGAGAGCCCTGAATACTGACCATCCTTGTGGTCACCTTGCTCTCATTTAGAAAAAAGATGGGCAGAAGCAGGTGATCTGAGGTGCCTCTGGCAGGGACTTTTTCTTCCCTGTCCAGCAGTTTCTGAAACTGCATGGTCCCAGATGCTTTGAGCACTCGTTACATTCTGACAAGTCACTTGGAGGAAGTTAGCACCTTTGTCAGCCAGCTCAGGAGGTCAGGCATCTATCTTTGTGACCTGCTTCCACCCTTGTATAGGAGGACTGCTGTAGTCAGCCAGTTAATTACCTTGCCTAATGAGCATGTAAACAGGAGAGTTCCTTGTTAGAAAATAACAATACACTGATTCTCCAGCCTGTTACGTCTTGATACATGCTTGGGATTCTTCTGTTTGCTCTCTTGATTACCACATTGACACGTGGTCCTCAAGTTTTCTTCCTGTAGTAAATGGAAAAAAAAGACTTCCTTTTACAGAAAGGATATTCTGTAATTGGGGCTAGAGAGATGTCTCAGTTGTTGAGAGTACTTGCTGGTCTTCCAGAGGCCTGGGCTTTGGTTCCCAGCACTCACATGGCAGCTTCCAACCATCTGTATGTAACTCCAGTTTCAGGGTATCCAGTGCCCTCTTCTGGCCTCCTTAGGTATCAGATATCCATGTGGTGCACATATAGGTAAAACACTCATATATATATATTTAAAAAGCTGGGCGGTGGTGGCACACACCTTTAATCCCAGCACTTGGGAAGCAGAGGCAGGCGGATCTCTGTGAATTTGAGACCAGCCTGGTCTACAGAGTGAGTTCCAGGACAGGCTCCAAAGCTATACAGAGAAACCCTGTCTCGAAAAAAACAAACAAACAAAACAACAACAAAAGTCCTATAGATCAGTAGGTTTGAAAAAGAAAAATAGTATTAAGTAGTTGATTTTGGTTTCTCACTTTGCCTGCGTTGAACTGATGAGTCTTTCCAGGGGGAAATCAGGAGCCTGTGGTTGATGAAGGGGTGAGGTCCGAGGGAAGCTCCATAATTGTATGGCTGTGTGTATTGTTAAAGGCATGCTGGAACAGCCACCTCGTGAATGAGCTCCGTGTAAAGCAATTTGATCCCAGCAAGTTTATTGGCTCCAGGTAGCTGAGTAAGGCACCCAGAGGTTAAAGGGTTTGCCGCAGGCCACCCAGCAAGTGTGTGGTCGAGCCAGATTTAGAACATTGTTCTAATTAGCTCTTGACTCCCAGCTTTGTGCTCAGGCTTACCACTCTGTCCCCACACGTTGGAGTTCACTTGTCAGAGGAAGGAACACTTCGTGTGTTGACCTGTCTGCATATGTTACTGTTATTACTATTATTAGTTAATTCACAACCAAATGAGGCAACCTGGAAGACAGTGAAGTATACTCAGACAGTAGAGTCCAAGGAAAGATAAAATTCCAAAGAAAGGGATTCCCCGAAAGATGATGATGTAGTGATGGTACTGGAGGATAAAGGTACTGCGCTGGCCATCAGGTTCCTCGGAGCTTCCAGTGGAATTTGAGAGATCAGCTGGTCACCGTAGCACAAGGAAACCAAGGGTGTGGTGAGAGCCTGCGTCCATGTGAGGAGTTCTCAGCTCTGACAGAAGTGGGGAGGGGTGATATAGCAGGCGGCGTGGGTGAGGCGGGGATGTTCAACATGGATCTGTGTGTGTGTGTGTGTGTGTGTGAGAGAGAGAGAGACAGACAGACAGACAGAGACCAGAGACACTTTAATGTGCTTGAGCCAAAGGAACATAAATCCCTGGGCTCCTAGAGCTTGTTTTAGTGGGGAGAAGAAACCCTAGCATTAAGTCAGTAAGGAAACGATAATATTAAAATACGTCACCCGCTTAAAGAGAAGGGTGGTAAGGTTTATGCAGACGGGTAGGCCCTGGTGATGGTACATTCTTCTGACAGGACATGAGGAAAGTAAGTGGCTCTTCTCTTTGGTGTTCTTCTTCCTCATGACATACAGCTCTAGTCTAACCCTGAAGAAAACGTCAAAACGAACACACAAAAAGCCCACATAAAGGAGCTGGTAGATGGCTCAGTCAGCAAAGTGCATGCTGTGCAAGACGAGGGCCGGAGTTGGGATCCCTAGCATCTACTGCCATGATTTAAAGATTGCACTTTCAGTGTTTGTAAAGCTCTAGATTTGTTCCTTAGTATAAAACACACACACACACACACACACACACTCACACACACTCATGCATGCATGCACATCCCCACTGGGTTTGAAATGGTACGTAAGAAAAGGAATACTGGTAGTCTTAGATTAATTTAATGATCTATATGATGATATTTCTTCTATATAATGGGAGTCTTGTACTTTATGTTGATTTAATATGTTAATTTTTCTTAGTCTCTGGTATGCAAGATGAAATTGGAAAAAAAATCCCATTTCGCATTTCAGAATTACTAAAACTCATTGCATAATTCAAGAGTTCAAGAGACTGAAGCTTAACTTGAGACTCAGAAAGAACACACAAATCCAAACCCTGTTTGCATCTGGAAACGTTGGGGAAATTGTATGACGTTCTAACACAATAAATACTAAAACACACAGCAGAGACAAGTCCACAGTCGCCACCTCTGTATAAGGGAACTGACCACGGTTGCCATGATCTGTGTATGGCATTGATGTATCTGAAGGAAAGACTTGGGTCCGGGTATAGGGTTCAGTTGGTAGAGTGCTTGCCTGGCACGCTTGAACCCCGTGTTTGGCCTCCAGCATCCCCTGAAATCAAGTCTGGTAGGGAACACCTAAAGCCCCAGAGCTTGGGAGCTGGAGGCTGGGGACTCAGGAGTCAGGATCACTTCCAGTTTTGTAGTGGAGTTGAGGTCAGCGTGGTAAGTAAACAGATACATAAAGTTTGTGTATACTAGTTTAATTTACATGTATTAAGCAATACAGTTTGGTGCTGCTGATTTAAATATACTTGTTTAATGACCTAAGATCTAACAATTAATTGATTAGTCATAGTTTTTAGGGAAAAAATCATGTTTCTCTACCTTTCAGCAATGTGTAATGGTATTAATTGATAGTTTTACCTACTTATAAGCAGTAAAGAAAAAAATATGTTGCCTAATTTTATCTGTTCCTTTGGTAAAGATGTATAGTATATGCATGTGACTTCTGGGCACTTGAAATGCAGCCAGTGTGCCTGAGGAAATTAGATTTACTGAACTTAAATAGCTATATATAGTCTCTGTCTACTCTATTGGATTGTATCATAATCAAGGTCTATTCTAATTATACCCAACCTTGGAAGTCCAGCAATTCTCCTGTAGCATTCTTTCTTCTCAGGTCAAGCTATGAGATTTGGTACCTCAGGTCCCGAGAGACGAAATGATGAACTAAAGCCTGCCACGTGGGCCATAATTTTGCCATAGGCTTGCTCTGCTTCCAACTCTGTCATGGGTTCATAAACTCTTGACCTTTAATCTCAGGCTAGACCTGTACTCTGAGGCCAATCTGGAAGCCAGGGAGTTTGACACTTGAAACCTTTTTCCAGGAAAGCTGGAGAATTCTGAGAACCAGAGTCATCCATCATTAGGCTTTATAACCCAAGGAAGCACAGGCATAATGATTTTAACATTCAGGTTTAGTCAAAGGACAGCCTCCCCCCACTTCTCCTGTACCTCCTTACCCAACAGACCATGAGTGATTTTCGGTGTTGGGAAAGCATTTGGGACTTTTAGACTGATTGCAATATAGCCCAGCCACAGAATCCCTCATGTCTCTTGCTTACTATTTTCAGTCAACAGATCAGAGGTTTTTTGAGGGCAGACTCTTTACAAATGCTCTCAAAGACATCTCTGTGTGAATAAAAGTGGTTGGCCTTGTTTCCCATTATCAAGGAGGTCTACCCTGCCCTGCCTAAGTTCTCATACAAAGTAAGGAGTCGTGTGTGTTCCTGACAAAGAAAGTTTGTATGTTGTTGTACCCTGTTGTGCATGGCTGACATAGAAGAGGTGTAGACATGGGAAAGTGACCGGACAGACTGGTGTACTACACAATACAGTGAACTGTGTGCCAATGGTATCTTTTTGTTTTCGTCCAGGAAATCCAGGATTGGTGCTGCATTTCTCTCACAAATACTGCCCTGCTGTCTTCACAGAGGCCTCCGAGAATAAGTTCCCCATGTGTCTGGCCTCCTCTGGGCAGCCAGATGAAGGGTACTTCCACCGGTTCCCACGGCTGCACTGCTGAGCCACTGCTCTGTGTTGGCTGAATGTTCGTGACAGCCTCTCCTGAAGTGGCTTAGGAGGCTTAGACCCTGTGTCATGGAAGCTTTGGAAGTGGATGACATCAGCCCTGCCTTAGAGGTGACTGAGGACTTCTTTAGCACTTTCGATAGTAAGCTGGAAAAGGCCGTACAGCAAGCAGAGGTGTACGGGATCCAGGAAGTCCCTGAGCTGGTGGGGCACGAGGTACTCAGTAACCTAACAGACAATGGTGCTTTGAGAAATGTTGCCTCCCTGGGCAAGGGGACCATGATTTGGGACCACTGTAAGAGCAGGCTCCTCGAAACCAAAGCTCAAAATGTCTTCCCGGCCAAAGAGCAGCTCATGGTCCAGAGAGGGACCGCCCCAGACAACCTCTCCTGGATGGAGCAAAAGGAAGCGTCAACCTTCAACTTCTTCAACTTCTGTCAGCGTCGGAGGGACAGACCTCGCTCCGTGAATGACTTATTGGATGAGACCACCACTTTCAAGCCGGGACATGCTCGGTCAAGGTCCGACATCACCCACGTAGACTGGCGGCTGGTCCTCAGCACCATGCCGCAGCAGCAGCAGCAGCAGCAGCAGCAGCTGGCCCTTCAAGGCCCTCACTTTGCCAGGCCGTCTTTCCTGTTGCCTTCGCCCAGTAAGGTTGAAGATGCCCAAGGAAATACAGGTATGCTCATAGTCGATTTAGTGAACAGCTGTTCATGTCTCCTTTGTCTCCCTCACATCTGCTGGCTCTGCAGTATCCACACCTGCCTTCTCTCTGTCCCAAGCTTTGTTCTTTGCTTCAAATCAGCCATCTTTTTTTTTTTAATCTTCTGAAGAGGTGTTTAGTGAAATTATGACTCTGGTTAAGTCTCTCTTCCTAATCGTCTGCGTTAGAATATTCTTACATCAAATGTAGTATTTTCCTCTGAACACTCTGTGGTCCCACTCCTTCATATCAGATGTTTATCGGGTCACACTCTGGACTTTCTTAACCTTCCTCCCTGGTGGGTTTAAGATGTGTGGAGACACTCTGTCCTACAAAACTTTTCATCAGTGAAGATTCAGGAAATTACCCAGAATGCCAGACCGTAGATGGCCACTGAAGTGTGTGTGTGTGTGTGTGTGTGTGTGTGTGTGTGTGTGTGTGTGTGTGTGTGTGTGTGTGTCAGTGACGCTAAGAGGACAGAAGAAGCGGAAGGCACCGTGAGCTGGGCTGCTCCAAAAGAGCTTGCAGGGGACGTGAAATGAAGGACATGGAATTCCGAAGCAGTTATGGAAGGTGGTGGTCAGAATCGTAGTCTGAGCACAGGTGGGAAAGGGCCGAGTGTAGCCCAACTGTAGAGCAAGGCCGTGGGTTCAGTACCCAGCCCCACAGGCTGGGGGAAGGGGAAGGAAACGCAGAGGAGAGTAAGCAGACCTCGTGGGTAGAGGAAAAGAAGAGCCAGTGCCGGTCAGAACGATGACTAAAGTCTCATGGGTAATACACAGCTGTTCGCATCTATCTCTGTCAGACTTACGTGCTCACACACACTCTCCTGTGTGACATGAAAAGCCATCTTTCCATTTACCACAGCATTTTCCTTCAAGATTATGACTACTGATTTTTATTACTAATGATTCTTTAATTACTCTACTCAACTCTTAAATATAAATGGCTTCTCCTCAACTCACTGGTGTGTGTGTGTGTGTGTGTCTGTCTGTCTGTCTGTCTGTCTGTCTCTCTCTCTCTCTGTGGTGTGTTCATGCTTTACAGTACTCTGAACTGAACCTGGGACTTTGCATATTTAGGCAAGTACTCTGCTGCTGGCTTCCTCCCCTCTCCTCCGGCCCCCAGTCGGGTCTCTGTGTGTGCATGTATTTGTGTAATGTTTGTTGTGTTTTTTCGAAGGGCCAGGAATTGAATCTTGGATTTCTAGGTAAACACTCTACCATGGAGCTGCCTCTCAGCCTTTCTTGTCTTTTACGCTCCACTGCTAATTAAAAAAATAAATGTTGCGCCGGGCGGTGGTGGCGCACGCCTTTAATCCCAGCACTCGGGAGGCAGAGCCAGGCGGATCTCTGTGAGTTCGAGGCCAGCCTGGGCTACCAAGTGAGTCCCAGGAAAGGCGCAAAGCTACACAGAGAAACCCTGTCTCGAAAAACCAAAAAAAAAAAAAATAAATAAATAAATAAATAAATAAATAAATGTTATGTGCCTGAGTGTCTTGCCTGCATGTGTATGAGTACAGTGTGGGTGCAGTGCCCCCAGTGGTCAGAGAGGGTCGATCCCCGGCAGCTGGAGTTGCTGAGCCACCAGGTGGGTGCTGGGAACTGAAACCCAGGTCCTCTGGAAGAGCAATAAGGGCTCTGCACCACTGAGGGATCTCTCCAGCCCCTTTACTGCTGTTCTTAAGTTAGCTTCTACACCTACCATTGCCCGGTAGTCAACTGATACATTTAACACTTTAGTAAGTAAGGTTAATTTGTAACTGTAATCTGAGCGGAGATATCATTTGGAATATAGAGAAGGAAATACAGGGTTTCTATCCACAACACGCCACATTTCCACATACAGTACAAAGTCACCCTTCAAGACCCTTTTCTTCCCCGTCAGATTCGCAACTTGCCATTCTTCCTCTTTCCTTCCAGGGCAGTGGTTCTCCTCAACCTTCCTAATGCAGTTCCTCATGTTGTGGGGACCCTCAACCATAAAACTATTTCATTGCTACTTCATCACTGTAATTTTGCTCCTGTTATGAATTGTGTAAATAGCTGAGATGTAACTCCCAGTAGAGTCACGACCCACAGGTGGAGAACCACTGTTCTAGACTCAAATCTTCAAGAACAGCTGGCAGGATTACCACTATAGGACCAGAAGGAAAGGGACATAAAAAGCATTTGGTGACTGATTTAGAGAATGAGGAGACAAGACATCACTGGGACTCCTGAGCCTGGAGCACCTCATAGCTTTGTGTTTGATATGTTAAATTTATGTAGTAGGGAAGCTCTTCCACTAGCAAATGACATCAGTAGATTCTCTGTTAGAACTCACATGGAATTCTGTCATCGTCACAGTAACCATTTGTAGGTCCTCAGCAGGACCGGATGAAGAGGTTACCCTATTTCCAACCTTTCCAGTTTGTTCTGGTTATAAATACAAGAATTGGCCATCCTTGGCATGTCTCATGCCCTGGTCTTTCCCCTTGAGTATCTGACAAAGCATGATGGTTACTCTTTTTTATTTTGCTTATTTTTCTCAAGACAGGCTTTCTTTGTGTAACCCTGGCTATCCTGGAACTCTCTCTGTAGATCAAATGAGCCTTGAACTTAAGAGAGTTCTGCCTGAGTGTTGGGTTTAAAGGTGTGTACCACCATTCCTGGCTTGTGATTGTTATTCTTTAGTTCTTGAGTTTAAAAATTCTGAGTACTAATTTATCGTGAAATATGGGTAGTGATTTTGAAAAGGAAATTATAACACATGGACTTTGCAAGTTTAGAATAACACATCTTAGCCACTGCTTGGTCATTGCAACAGGAATAGATAAACGGGCAAAAGGCATGGCCGGCTTCTCACATCTTTTCTTTCTGACAAGCTCTGGGAAACAGGCAAGATGTGTCATGTTTTTATTGCCTGTCAGGTAAGGAGCAGGGGTCAACAGGGACCTCCAGCAGTTAGGCTGAGAGTGGAAAAGCATTCTAGATTTGTGGCTGATCACCCATTCGGAGGAGTACACAGTTCTCATCTAGGTGTATGCGGAGAGTTGATGTGAATTGACCCCATGGATTTGGAGGCACAGCAATCAGCCAGTCTCCTGGGGTCAGGGCTGTCCCCCAGGGTGAGTTCCCAGTGACAGAGCCACCCAGGGCACAGCAGACACTGGGAAGGCAGTAACATATGAGCTGACCTTTGAGGCCTTATCACATTTTTTGACTGTCTTATTTTAGAAGCTTGTGAATGAATGCATTCTGGAGACTGCATTGCCTCAGACATAGCCAGACTAGGGCTGACTCTTTCCAAAGGAATGTTGGCTGAACTAATAGAGAGAGGGTGCTTCAGGGGGTCCAGCCATGGGGTATGGCTTGAATCCAGCCTCATTATCATCATCATCATCATCATCATCATCATCATCATTACTTTCAAGACAGGGTTTCTCTGTGTAGCTTTGCGCCTTTCCTGGAACTCACTCTGTAGCCCAAGCTGTCCTCGAACTCACAGAGATCCGCCTGCCTCTGCTGGGATTAAAGGCGTGCGCCACCACGGCCCAGCCAGTCTCATTATTGCCGCGTGTGTTATCTGAAAATGACAGGCTAAGAAATGTCAGGGGTGAGGTCATAAAATGATAAAAAGGAATGGACCTAAGGCAAAGTGGCAGCTGTTATTATAAAGGATTTCCAAGTATGTGGCAGAGCCCAAAGCTTCCTTAGCCCAGCATCTTTCCATCCTCGTGCCCACTGTACCCAGGCAGCTGTACCACTCCGAGGGCTTTGACTCCACTGTACGAATGTGGTTTCCAGCCCTAGCACTAATCTTAGTTGTATAAAGACATGCTCTTAAGGAATAGAGATGAGTGTCTGTCCTTGATGGTTTTCTACTCTGCGTCACTGTCTTGGTATTCACTGAAGAACAGTACACTCAAAGGCATGGAGGAATTCCTCAGAGCATAAAGAAGGTAGAATCCTGCCATCTCAGAATGAAGTCCAACTATACACACCTTAAGTCCAATGAACATGTGGCTGTTAGATATGTTTTTATATTGAATAATTGATTGTATATACACACACACACATGCACACACACACAAGCAAAGACACATCGTAGACGAAGATGAGACGGTCTAGAAAGAATATTCAACCAAGACGCAGGAGTCTCATCCCAACTCTCCTCCTGACTCACTGTCTCTTTATCAACCTACTGAGACAGATTAAATTATCTCTGGAGTCTTTCCTAGCCCCCAAACTGCATCATTCTAGGATATGTTTAAACAGATTCTGACTCATGGCTGTGTGGGAACTAATTGCTATATTCAGATCAACAATTAAAGATCATGAGTGAAACAAAAGTGTGGTTAGACTTTCCTAACAAGTGAGAGATTTCTCTGTGACTTGTAAGTCTACTGCTGCATGAAGTGCAGTGGTAACTTTTTAAATGAAAAAAAAAAAAAAATTAAAGGACTCTTTTGTATTCGCCGTGGAGCCCCGAAACTCAGCAAACTCCCAGAACGGAACTCACTTTTCCTCCCTGACTGTGCTCACGTTTTCATCTGCCCGGCGAGGGCAGTGGTCAGCCGAGCTTTTGTTTCCGTAGGTGCCGCGCTCCGTTGACCCGGGCCGCTCCTAGGCGTCTGTTTTCTTGTTCTGCGTACTTGAGGAGAAGGGTCTCAAGCAGGGATGTTCTTTATGGCTAGACGGACCGCCGCAGTCCAGTCCTTCATCCTGGGCTTGATGTGGCTGCTTCAGTTCTCTCTTCCCCATCTCTCACTGAAAAAAGACAAATTTGGGACTTGGACTGAAATGACTGCTTTTTCAATTATGCTGTTTCTCAAAAGCCCCGGAGCCAGGAGAGATGGAAATATTCATGCAGGCTTAGAATAGGTGAGGTCACCAGGACACGGTCTCTTGCTGAATTTGTGATTCACCCTCCAACAGATTAGTCAGTACAAAGAAGTTGCTAAAATAGGTCACAGGAAGTTGATTGTGTATGGT